ATATATATATATATATATATATATATATATATTAGGCTATTATATATTATTTAGTGGTTCAATGCATTATATTGTTTTTTTTGAGCCACAGATCGGACTATTTTTTCGGATAAGCAAGAAAAAAAATATTTAAAGCACAGAGAATGACACAATTACCACTGGAAGAAATGGCTATTTCTGTATATAGCCTAATATATATATATATATATATATATATATATATATATTAGGCTATTATATATTATTTAGTGGTTCAATGCATTATATTGTTTTTTTTGAGCCACAGATCGGACTATTTTTTCGGATAAGCAAGAAAAAAAATATTTAAAGCACAGAGAATGACAATGCCGTGAAGGTTTTTTAACATAGGCTAATTTTATGTGTATATATACGCAACTCGGTATGTCTGAAACACATCTCTATGCTTGTGCACGCTTTGATTGTGTGCGAGAACAGCGCCTTAGTAACAAATTGAGTTCTCTTTCGTTTCTTCTTCTTGTAGTTTAAAATTGCTTGTACGTGTAAATTGGCAAATTAATCTGCGAATCACGTGCATGCCGAATGGTAGGGTCTCATGCGTAGGCTACGTATTACGGAACAACTGCGATCCGTTTAACTCTTAATATGTGACAGATCAGAGCAAGCAGCTTTCATTTACTTATTTAACATGACATTGTCAAATTTCTACTCCATATCAATTGCATACAATGAAAATACAGAATAATTAGAACAATCATTAACATAAATAAATAACAGAGTGTCATATCTATTTTTCCCAGAACGTTCTTGCGACCCAGTAGCAATTCTTCCACGGCCCGGTAGTGGGTCGCGACCCAGTGGTTGGGGACATCTGCCTTACACCATTAAAAAAATAAAAAAATAAATTGGGCTAAAAAATTAGTTTGAAGGGGAATTCAGTTTGGTTCTGGATTCCTAATTTGATTTTCAAGAGATGTGGGAATTTACAATTTTTGCATTCTTGTGAATTTAAGTCCACAAGGCGCCCTTTCAAACTTCCACAAGCACGCTCTAGACTCATAGAAGCTAATATTTAAACATAATTTTCATAATCTTGTTGTTTTCAGTGTACGTCACAGCAGCATCCATCTGTTATTTTAATAAGAGAAACTGGTAGCCAATCACAGTAGTGGGCGTTTACTTGTGAGTCTTGAATGCGCCCCTCCTATAAAAAACAGACTGTTTTGCAGAGAGGCTCAAAAACAGGATATAAAAATGTTTGATGTAAAATCACACTAACATTATAAGTGAACATTATAAAATAATAATAATAATAAATGCAGTTAATGACCCCTTTAATTGAAAGGAGTACAAGCACATTTCTATCGGTCATAACTTCTGGAGGAAAATATGGCAGATGGTGGACAAAGATGATGATTACACAAGTTAACGTGTTAGGGTTAACTGTTATTTTACCTAAACTTATATGCATAGCATACTAGATGGGCTTTTTCTAAACTATATTGCCAAACTGAAAGTAAAGGGAAATATGATATACATACAGATATATAGGCAACATTTTATTACATTTGTTATATTGTACTTACTTGTACTTATTGTATATATTGTACTTGCTTTGAACATTTTTTTTACAGCTTGATACATGTGATGTTTAATTTTTCTTAAGCTTTTGCGTGAGTGATTTAGTTTGTTAACTAAAGAAGGTTAAATCTGATAAAAGCATTAAAATTGTTTTAATTAAGCTAAAAGGCTAAACTGTTCCATGTTTCATGTCAAATGCTTCATGGTGATTTTATGAAGTACAGAAGTTAGTAAATAAATTACTTAGTGAATAATTACTTTTCAGAAAGAGTAATTAGAAAAGTAATTTAAATACTACATTGATCCTGTAATTAGTAATTAATTACTAATGCTGTAATTAGTAATTATTATTATTATTTAAACTTAAACTTACCCTTTGTGCAGATTGACTTTGCTATTAACATTGTAAACAAAAATTAAACAAAAATTAAAAAGTCCATAACTGCATGTTTTCTAAACCAGAGGGTCAAGTCTTCATGGTTGGACCAAATGTCACCTTAGATAAAATCCCTCGACTCGACACGACAAATACTTCTGTGGACATCGATCTCATTGGGATCGCCAAGAATAACGAAAGTACGTCAAATATTTTGGTGTGATTTAAAAAAGAAATCCTAAAAAGGGACTTCAGAGCATTACCACTAAACCACATTTACAAAATGTTTTAGTATTGCTTTTCTGTTTCTGTCTCACAGGATCAGCTGCTGTGGCTTTCATGAGCTACAACACGATGGAGAATCTACTGAAGCCAGACTTCTTCAACACATCAAAAGACACGGTTAACACCATGATGTCCACTGTGATCTCAGCTACTCTTCCCAAAACCACCAACACTGAACTCACCAAACCAGTGAACTTCACCCTCAAACACATCAGAGTGAGAGACT